TTGGGCATGTTTTTTATGAGAGTATAACATGATAACATGATATAAAACTCAAAAAAGTTAATTTTACATAATATTGCCCCTTTAAATTAGCTTTAGTTTCCGATTAAAAACACAAACCGTACTCTTGACCTGTTTTAGTCAGCTCTGCGGTTTGAAAGCACCGTGTGACCTTGGGTTTTCGGCCCAGACTTGCAGCTCGAGATGAAAGTCTTGAATGTTGCCCTTCACTGGGAGCCGCGGCAGACGGGTTCAGCCTGGATGAAATCAGATGGCTGGCACAGCACTCCGCTCCTCTCCCAGGAAAACAAAGACGAAACCAGGCGCAGATGAAGGAAGGCTTCCCTCGYTGAAGCAGCACGCACGCCGCTGCTGTGGTCTGAGTGCCAAAACCTCTTTTAAAATCCACAATTTCACAGACTTTATCTCCTGCTTACGGTGGGAAATACACACAATTAGACAAACTTAGGAAGTGAGTTACATAAAACACARACATTTCAGATTTCAGTCTTGTTATTCGCTTGTTCAGAAGAAAACATTTTGATATTTCTTGAACTGGATTCGTCTTTAAACACTCCACCTCACATCTGGCTGCTGATTTGACACCCTCCCTCAGCTCCTCTCTGCATCAGCTGGCCATGACCAGAACCCCAGGTCCTCCACCTCCAGCAGAGCTGCTGCAGGACATCTGACTAAATGGAGGAAAGTCTGYGTCTTGCCTCGTGTAATAAACGACTGATATGTTCTAAGGATGGATCACATCAAGTGTTTTCAGATGAGTTTTCAAATGAAATAATAAATAAAAAAAAAGTCTGGAGTTTTTGGAAGCCAAACAAAGAGAGCTTACCAGACTCCTTCCTGCTTCCAATTTCTCAGGAAAAAGTTAGCAGTTGCTGTTAAATTCCAGCCAAGTCTCCGAGTGAACTGTCAGCTGTTGAGATGTGTCACAGAGTAGCTTCAGTTTCTGACGAGGAAGACGGATCAGATTGCAAAGAAAAAAATTTTTTGTGAAGAAAATAAAAACAGCATTAAGTTGGACGAGTAATTTAAAGTAACTGATCAAATGAGGTGGATAAAGTATAAACAATGCTTCTTACAGTAATGTAGCTGAAAGTTTTTCTTTGTTCCTTTTGTGTGAAATAGATTTTATTGCTTAGAAAAACCAAGAATCTGATGCCTTTTATCTTTATTGTGAGAATCTTTTTTAAATAACATAAATCACAGTGGTCTGACTATCTCATAAAACATTAAAAGGCTTGAAGGAATGCATACCACCCTCCAACTTCATGCCCAAATTTAAGGATAATATCTGTAGAACTGCTGTGGCAGCCATGTTGAATTAGTTGTAAAACATAAATAAAAACAGAATACAATGATTTGAAAATAATTTGCAAATCCTTTTAAACCTATATCCAATTAATACACCACAAAGACAAGATATTTAATGTTCAAACAGCTAAACTTGACTGTTTCTTTCAATTATTTATTTTTTTTTGCAAATATTTACTCGTTTTGAATTTGATGCTGCTGAGAACTCTGGACTAAAATCCCTCTGCTGCTGCTGCACAGACAGAGCTCTAATCTTATTATTAGTGATTTATTATATGCCAGAGTGAATATTATTGATAATTATTGTCTATTGAGTTTTTTTTAACTTTAAGATATAATCAGACAGTCAAATATATACATCTTACAATAACACATAAGTACCGCCCAATTAAAAAAATTTAATTACATTTTTCTTCAATAAAAACARGGTAGCCTGCTCTAGTGGCCCGACCACCGGGCTTAGCAAGTTTTCCGGGGGAKATCCTGAAATCGTTTTTGGAAATCGTGGACTTTGTGTCCTCCGAGCCAAAGGGGAAAAGGACTGTTCGGATTGTTATCTGCACAAAGTTCAAAAGCCAGCCTCTCTGATGTTATGGGTGTGTATTAATGCCCGTGGCATGGGTTAACTGCACATCTGTGAAGGCTCCATCAATGCTGAAAGCTACATATAGCTTAGAGCAACACATGCTGCCATCCAAGCCACGTCTTTTTTCAGGGACATCCTGCTGATTTCAGCCAGACAATGAAGACACATTCTGCACGTGTTCCAACACTGTGGCTTGTGAGTCCCAACATTGTTGGAATTGGGGTTGTAGATGTTCATCTATTTATTCTGCAGCTTTAAATCAAATGAACCCAGTGGTATATCAGACTTACAACACACTGACTGTCTTTCTGCTTCTGTATTTGAAGCCTGTTGGTGTAATTCACCGTTTTATTTGTTTTTTTAGGGTCATCTGTGTTTAAGATCATATCGATTTCACTCATGTTAATACAGACATTGTTTGCTCTGACATCACTTCCCTTTAAGAGCCAAACTTATTGATATTTTTTCATCTTTCCTGTGTCCTTGTAAAGTTTTTTTTTTGCCACTCTTACAATATCCTTTCTTCTTTTCTGTAGTTTGTTGTTAGTGTTTATTGAGATGAAAGGCAGGTTTGATGTTGGGTTTTGAAGTCCGGGCTGACCAGCACCGCTTACCCGTATAGAATATTTAAATATATAAATAAAAAGATCTGGTTTCAGTCCAACCTGTGTTTTATCCCTTTTCCTTTTTGGTCCAGATCAAAGTGGGAAAGGTTTTCTACATGTGGACCGTCAACAACTTCAGCGTCTGAGAGGAGACGGGAGAGATCGACGACAAACTCGAACGGTTGGTGACACTTTGTCTTTCTAGATATCAAGTTTTTGAGGTCGTTGGATGAGATGAATGTAAAGCTGAGTTCAGAATGCCTAACTGGCAGAGGAATTAAAGATGACAGACTATAAAGAATGTTGACTTTTCTTGGCACCATGCGTCGAGAGCTAATGAATTAAAATAAATTACTTTGTTTCCTCAAGTGTTGACAAAACGTATTTGTCTCAAATTGCTTTGCAAAATTATGACTTCCATATGTCTAACATGTTAATTAATAGTCCATATGGTGGTTGTAAAGTGTTTCATGTTTCTCAGACTATAACTGACTGCAAACAAATATCCATATGTTACAAACTCATTATGTTGAGACATTTTTGTAAACTTGTCTTCATTAACAGAAACACACAGTTTCTTGTATCGATTTAATGAAAAAAACAGAAAATCTTTGTGGAAATCCTCAGGTTATTTTTGTCGTTTATTTTTGGAAGGTCAGCCAAAGAATTCAAGTTTTCTCAGATGTGTTTGGTGTTTTTTCAACATTTTACCACAAATTACTTTTTATTGGATTAATGCAGTTTTTTTCATATAGGAAAAATATGTACAGCGGGTAAAATAAGTATTGAACACGTCACCATTTTTCTCAGTAAATATATTACTAGAGGTGCTAATG